GCACAGGGTAAACGCAGGAACTGGAGGTGGATCGACCATACATTAAGGAAAAACTGGAACAGTATCACTTGAATGGCATCACCAATGGTCGAGGAATAGTGGTCAACCCAGAGACACCTGGCGACGTACCATTACTCAAGAAGTAAGACAAAGAACCTTACAGCAAGTGTAATGGTGGAGGACCAATGTACGCGACATTCGGAGCAGTGCGGGATCAACACTGCCAGTATGAAAACCTTGGTTGTTAATTTCTAAAACGTCAGAATAAAATAGTGAGATTAGCTCCGAAAGCGACGAATAAATTTCAATACATGTATATGTAAAAAAAGATTTGAAGTGTCCTTATTTTTTTTAATGTTTATGATTTTTCTAAGTATCAACATAACATTTGAAGTGTCCTTATATTTTTATCATCAACAATAAAAATCTCATTTTTATTTATTGTGCTATTTTCAGTATGATGGTGTTGTTTTATTGATTTTATCTCAAGTAGAAAATTTGTAGATCAAATTAGAGGAAAAATATTGCTTAAGAGAGAAAAGCAATATTTCGAATATTTCACGAGATATAGACTCACTAATAAGTACGTATTATTCGAAAATTGTGCTAAAATCCATCCAGTCGAATATTTTAAAAATTAATTTAAAAAAAAAACCTTAGCTAATAATGCAAAACCCAGCTAGGGATTTTCTTCCACCATCACAAGCTTCGAGATTTTGGGGGTCTCGATTGGTTCAAGATTTTAAAGTTGAAAAATGTGTCACTGTGTTAAACAAATACTACTACACATTGTATATGGCGGCACGGGTGTATATAGAATTTGGGTACAAAGCTTTTTTCTATGAAAAACAATGCTTTTCGCTATTTTGTTTGACATTTGTACTTTGTGGTGCATTGCAATAGTACTTGAAAATGAGGTGAAATATATCAATAGTTAGGTTAGGGTGAAAATAGGGGTAATTAATAACTTTAAGGGAATCCCCCCCCATTCTCGATTATAATTTTTCAAGATTTTCAATGGGCTGGTAAATCAATACCAATGCTTGTTAAGGTTTGTAACTATGCACATATATATTTGAAGATTTAAAAGAGAAGAAAAATAATTTACAAAAAAAAAATTGTTATTGTTTTGTTGTTGTTTTTTTGTAATTAAAGAAACGTCCTTATTTTTGATGACGGGCATGATAACTCCTCACTGGAACATCGGAATCCGAAAATTCTAACGGTGTTAGAAAGAGTACATGACTGGATCTCGTATGAACTAGGATTATTGACTTCGCTCTAAAATTAACAAAATAGCGGACCTTTGAAAAAATATTTTTGGAAAATCGCCGATTTTTGACCACAAACTTAGTTAAAAAAATAAGGAAGATCTTCACCGATTGGCTTTATCCTAGTTCATATGATAGCTATACACTCACAGAGAAACGCGTACAAATTTGGAATCGATTGGGTTTGAGTTATCGTGCCCGCCATTCGCAAAAGAGAAAAACGAGTTTAAAGTTTGAGAAGTCCTTTAGCCGTCACATGGTGCTGATACAATAAATCGGCTATATCTTCAAGAGTTGTTAAGATTTTCACTTCAAATTTTGTAGCGACATTCTTGAATTAGTGTAGATTCGAATTAAATCAAAAAATTATAATTAATAACTTCAGTAGTGTTGGTGGGTTATTTGGGATACCATTTGTTGGGGAGAATATCCCAACAGAAAACTAAGGCAACTGATGAGGATTAGTGGCGAGATCCGAAGCTATAGTCTTCCCTGCATTACCCCTCGGCGGACAATGTATACATTCGTTATTAATAAATAGATGTTTTTTATAAAAACAACAAACTGGGATTCAGCCTGACTATTTTGCAAAAACAAGAGGTAATTAATAACCTCATTCCTAAAAAAATGAGGGCAATTAATAACCTCATGCTCAAAATGTTGGATCTCAGATGTTCATATCTGGCAAATATTTGCAAATGTTCCATTTTAATAATCCTATCGTCATATTGTGTTCTCCCTTCGTCCATGATGTGTTGCCCAAAAATCGTATTTACTTTTCTGTAAAGTTTTATTGGTATTGGTTCCATGGATTTATGAAAGGTGGGGTATAGGGCGACCGGGCTCACTTCCGTAATGATTATTTACCTTCAATCAGTTTATTCAGTGCTGAAAATCATTTGTACTCGAAATTTTACTAAAAATCGGTACCATAGAAATTTATCGCTATTAAGGGAATACATTTCCCACTCTCGATTTCCAATTTTGACAATTATCAACCGGGTGGCAAATAAGCATACATGAAATAAATTAACAAGATGTTGTTTTTTGTAATTTTTTGAAAACATTTGGAATCGATTGGAGATTTTGAGTTATCGTGGCCGCCAATCGTAAAAACACTGTTTCGAGAAAAAAAGGGAGAAACCACAAGTAGTTTAATCAAACTATTTTGGTGGTCACTTGTGATCACTTCTTCGATAACACTGTCCGGACAGTTTATCTTATAGTTTAAACAAAAAATTACCCACTGAGCGTAATTTTTTATAAAAAAAATATATGTTCACATAGTTAGGTACATCTGCTGAAATCCCAATAGAGTTCGCAATATTTAAGATAGGGTTTTGAATTTTGCATTACTACTTCTCTTAGGATGCTTCGTATTGAAAAATATATCGGCCCACGTTCTGGTATATTTCTCATATGAAGGAAACCGCTCAATATTCGAGTAGCAAATATTTCTACCACGAATGAAGATTTTTTAATCCGTCCCATTTCCAATATTTACTCATTCTGACATATTTTAGTGCGACTTGCTATGTGAGACAATGTGAGAATGCGAAAAACGTTGTTCATGGTAAGTGAAAAGGGCGGTGGACGACTGGGAATTAATTTGCTGAATAAGCCTTGGAGTGCGGAAGCAGACCTCAAACTGCATTACTTACTTAGCTGGCTTATGACAGAACGGTTTTTCCATAGGCCGAGCTTAAAAAAGATTTCCAGGCGCGAGAGTCTTGTGCGTATCTCATCCAATTTGAAAGACCATTTTCCGAGATGTTGTCCTCTACTTGATCTTTCCATCGGATCCGTGACTTTCCCCTTTTGTGTGAACCATCACTTGGCTCGTTTTTTTAAGCTTTTTGAGCTGGGGCATCTTCATCCATTCTCACAAGATGAAATAGCCAACGTTGTCGCTGCAGCTCCATCCGTTTGACTATCTCAATGTCCGAGAATAGATGGTATAACGCATGGTTCATTCGACGACGATATTCACCATCGACGTAGATTGGCCCATAGATTTTCTGGAGAATTTTTCTCTCAAACACTCCAAGAGCTGCCTCATCTGCTTGCGCAAGTACCCATGCTTCAGATCCATACAACAGACGGGTAATATCAATGTCTTGTAGAGTGTGAGTTGGTCTGACGATAGGTGGCCTTGCTTTAGAGTTGCTTACTCAGACCAGGGACGTACGCAGGATTTAATTTTGATACCATCAGCATGGTCTTTTTGCCATTTACTGTCAGTCCCACTTTGGCAGACTCTTTCTCAATTCGTTCAAAGGTGGGTGTTACCGCTCGGAATGTTGCACCCATTATGTGGATGTCGTCGGCGTAGGTGAGTAACATATGCTGCTCACATTTGCATCTCGTATGAACTTTTCCAGAAGGATGTTGAAGAGGTCACACGACAAACTGTCACCTTGTCTGAATCCTCGTTCGGCATTGAAGGGCTCCGAGAAGACCTTTCCTACTTTAACTGCTGGCATTGTACCAGTTAAAGTTATCCTGCATAGCCATATTAATTTTGCAGGAATGTCAAACGCAGACATGGCTTTAAACACCTCGGAACCGATAGGGCTGCCGAATGCGGCTTTATAGTCGACGAATAGGTGGAATGTGTCGATGTGTTTTTCTTGGGTCTTTTCCAGGATTTGGGGCAGAGTGAAAATCTGGTCAATGGTGGATTTGTCAGGTCTGAAGCCGCATTGGTATGTTCCAATAATGTCATTGACCATTGGCTTCAATCGTTCACACAGCAAACTGGATAGTTGGCACATATCGTCTTGTAGTTGACACATATCTATAGTTGGCACATATCGTCCTGTCTCCTTTTTTGTGCACGGGACATAGGATGCTGAGGTTCCAATCATTGGGCATGCATTCCTCTAGCCAAATTGTACTAATCAGCTGGTGCATGCTCCTGACCAGCATCTGACCACCAGTCTTGAATAGTTCGGCTGGTATCCTATCGGCTTTATTGTTCTTCAGCCGATTAATTGTTACTCTGACCTCATCTTGGCTAGGTTGTACACACTCTATTCCGAAATCTCTTATTGGTTCTGGAGTATTTTCTTTACGGTGACTATTTGATACCAGAAGTTTTTCCAAAATGATACTTCCAGATCCTCAGCACGCTATCTGTGTCTGTCACCAGGTTTCCATCTACATCTCTACACCAAAGCCTTCGGTTTGGTGTTTTACTCATTTTTTCCGGACTCCATTCTGACTCCTGTACATCTCGATTTGCTCACGCTCACGTTTATCTTGTACTTTCTTCTTTTTTCTGAAATTACGTTTCTCCTCTCTCATTTTCTCCCGATAATGTTCCATCGCATAATGTGTTGCTACTGTCTGCAGTGTTGGCCTATACGCTGCGTTTTTCGCCTCAGTAGCATTACGACACTTCTGATCATACCACGGGTTTATTGATGGTGGTTTTTGGTACTTTATATAAATCGAATATTTGTATGTGCAAAGTATGGACCAATCGGTGCTATTTCCGTGAACTAGTTTGTGTACCAGCCAGCCATATGGACTAACATTTGTAAATCGACTTCGAAATTATCTGAAATGTATTTCATCCATAGGGATCTAAACCCAATATTTCGATGAAGCAACGACGTATCGACGATACTTATGCATATATAGTTTTCCATATTTTATTATCTTAATAATAATCTTTGGTCATAATACTGATACAAAAAAAGCTTAATGATATCATATCGATATATTTCAAGCTATTGGATCATCACCAAATCCCAAACCGGTCATTATGCCGCTAATAAAACTATTAATGATGTTATTATCAACGGCTGAGGTACCACCAATACTGCCGACACCGCCAATAGGTGAGGGTGCAGGAACGGGAAACGGAGCTGGTATCGGAGCTGGAGCTGGCTGGGGAGCTGGAATAGGAGCAGGAACTGCTGTACCATAACCACAATCATACATTTGATTTAATTTTTCAATATCCATTTCGGAGAAACCATCACGCTGACCCATTCTGGTATTACCCATTGAACGCTAGAAGGAGTTTCAAATATTTACAGATTTCTTGAGGATTACATTTCAAAAATTAATTTTCTACTCACCAATGCCACAATGGTGGGACGACCATTTGTCGAAAAAGCATTTGCCGAATAATGCATAACACTACCATAATCATAAGGTACTCCAAATGCCACAGTCCGTGAAGCCTTATCGAAATTCGATGCAGCACTGGGTTGAATATTTTGGTATTGTATGGAAACATAGGCATCACGTTCCTCTCGATTCTGTTCGTGTAGGAAACCCAAGGCATGCATAAGCTCATGAATGGCAGTGCCAGGTTTTGACAAACAACCAGGAGATTGCAAATTAACCTCCTGCCTGCCACCCACACGACCCAACGAAGACCAACATCCTGAATTGCCGCTAACAATCGAAATATAATCCTGTTGATTGGTACGAGGTACAAAACGTATACACGTCCGACGATGGTATTCCGCAATGGCATGCTCAATCATGGCCCGATCTTGACTATTGAAACGACCACGAATTTCATAGGGTACAATGCCGCCTGGCCAACGTGAACTTTGTGTGGTAATGCCATTCTTGAGGATAATTTGATTTTTCGGCACCAAGATATCACCTTCCAAATATGTGCCCAATTCTTCAGGATTAACTAAGGCTGTGTCGGCGCTGTAGTTAGCCACCAATTGGGCAGTGTTCTTATCATCGGGTTCACCAAACATTGCCATGCCATAGAAACTTAAATCAATGACATCCTTTGAAGGTTTTACGTTGGGTCGATCCAAGCTGTTCGATTGCACCTCAATCATTTCCTCTTCATCACCAATGCTGGGAATAATTGGACTACCCTGTGTCAGGGTGACAAGGAGGGCTAACCACAGTAGACGAAGTGCAGTATTTTTAAACATGTTCTTTATTTTATTTTTTCCTATAGAATGTCGAGCTCAGAATCCGTTAGAACTCTGTTGAATTTCTTTGATTTTCTGTGGCTATTTATACTGGCTCAGCATGGTGCCATGTCCCCAAGTCTCTCTGTCTATCGGACAGTGATTATTTTCTAAAAAAATATGTTCGAAATATTATCTTTTATTGCTTCGTTTTTTATTGGTGTCATTAGGTAAATTTTATTCACCCTAGATTTGGATGTCTATTTCCCATGCGTCCGCCCTATTAGTTTTTCTTGGCAGTCTGTGTGACTTCTTATCGTACAAATAACATTTACACGTTTTTTCGTACTTTCCAGGTTGACAGTCAATTTGTTGTGTTACTGACCTTCATTTATATGTATGCAAATGTTGTTCGGAATGTTCTAAACGGTATTGTAAACAAATTTCGTTTGCCGAAAAAGGTCTACCGAATTTTGCATAGATAAGTAAACTTTCTTTGATGGCACCTTAAAACATAAAAATGATTTGGATTTATTTACCGGCATTAGGTTCTCAGGCTTATTTGTATAAAACTTCCAAAAGACCGGCACATATCTGCATGCAGGATCAAATTGGGCAATAAGCTTATATACAGTTCGAACGATCTACAGTCGATTTGGATCAAATCACTTGTGATATGTCTTATAGGGACATGATCAGAAACATGGTCCCACAACCCTTTACCTCCGCTCTTAACACACAACAAATAAGAAAATGAACTATCTCGCAAATATTACATAAAAAATGTACCACTGCCACTATCAATGCACTGGCGTATCGCTTACCCAACCAACCGTGGTCACACCCTCTTCTGAGACTATATTCAGTGCGGCATTGAGCATAACAACATTAGTTCTTCCCTGCACCCCACCTTTACCAACACTTGGGCCTAAAAATGTTAGCCTAATTGGAGATCGCCACGAAGGCGAAGGTCACGGTCTCAAACACAGATCCATCCACGAATTTTTTTGTGTGAGCTGCGGACTTAGTTTTGCCAAAGTCTCGCAACACAATTTTTTCTACAAGAAATCCACCCTCACATTTAGGAACTTTTCTCTAGTAAAAGTCATCTTCAGGTCGCAAGGTAGTTTTTTCCAAGGGAAAACCGGTTAGGATATATTTTTCTAACATCCTTAAATCGTGGGAATATTTCATTTCTCATTCCCACATCCTGAGAATTTTTTTAGAAAAAAATCATCTTCAGATCGTTAGGTTTCTTTTTTTTATTTTTTGAACAATTGATCCTAATGCATTAGGGTTTTTAGGTCCTGAGATAAAAATTTTAAATAGTGGATATTATTTCTTTGGGTGAATATTTTTCTATATTAAAATCCATCCCATGCAACCTAAGGTGGATTTTTTCAAAAGAGGGTTAGTCATTGCATTGCAACTCTACAAAAAAAAAAAAAAAAAAAAAAACACATCCCCAAGTTTTTAAATTGGTCTTGGGTTTTATAAACAAATATATAGCTAGGCTTGGAGCAAATTTTTTCTTCTATAGAAAGCCCTTCAGCCCCTGCGAAATTTTTTCTCTAGAAAAAACATTCCTAAGTTCCTGGCGAGAAGTTTTTTTCTAAAAAAACTTCCTTAGTTCCTGCTGAAGTTTCTTTCTATAGAAAAAACATTTTTTAGTTCCTGCGGAATTATTTTTCTATAGAAAAAACACCCTTAGTTTCTAACCAAATTTTTTCACATAAAAAAACCTTCTTTTTCTCAATTTCTGACAAATTGTTTTCTATAAAAAAACTTTTTCGGTTCCTGAACATTTTTTTTCAATAGTGTGTAAGAACTTTTTTTCCGAATTATTATCCAGCAGATAGTGATGTGAACTGATGAACTTGGGTCCGAACCCAAGTTTGTCTTCGCTCGCAATAATCACAATTGATCCCTATAGGTTGGACTTATCGAACACATTCTGTAGACCTTCTTCAATTGTTTGAATAATTTCTCAAGATTCATTCTTAATGATCTCGATTTGATATTCAAAATAGCTAATCAGTAAAAAATACGCATCAGTAATGATTGAAATTTGAACCATTGCAGAACCCAAAGGGGTATTCTAACTATGTTGTAAGGGTATTATCTTTACTACCTCGGTCGATCTACACTTGTGTACCGTCCGTCCACTGTAATTTGAAAACATAGTACAGGCCACAGTTACGGATCAATCTTCACGAAATGTTTACATATGGGATCGGTTCGAGCCAAAGAAGATCCCTATTGGTTTAGGTAATGACCCGATAATATTAAGAAGATGCAATGGACTAACAAAATTTTGTCTGTTTTTCAGGTCATAAATATTAACCGAACATATCGAAGTTTTTTTTACGCGGAGACAGATCCCCGTCTAGCGGGCCAAATTGATACGAATTATATTGATGTATTTACTCGGATGTGGGAGTAATACTTAAATACTTATAGGGGCCTATCTATTCTGATATTGTTAAGTATTTCGGGATGATCCAATTTACATGAAGTTCCGGTTACGATCTAGGTCGGCGGCTTTAATTTTCGTGGATGATTAGATGATATTAATGGGATGAAATGGCCCCAACCTTATTCTTGTGTGTTTTGTCAAGTCGTTCAATAGGTCAAACCTATAAGCCGAATATCACACCACGTCACACGGGGAAGTGAATCTGAAAATGAAAGGATTAAAGGAAAGTAGAAAAGAGGAGTTTTAACAAAGCTAAGGATCAGCTTGGGATCTATTTCGGAGAAGAATCCTAGATTATCAATTTCACATTTACCAAACTGTCGGTGTCTTCTGCTAATTATCGATGAACGCCTACAGAGTAAATGTTCAATTGTTCCCAGCTCTTTTTCATCCTCACATAGACGGCAATAATCCACTCCGTTAGTGTCGCATTTGGAAGTGGGAGATCTAATCCAGCAGTGACCTGTCATGATCCCCATAATGATTTTTACCACCCTCTGACTGTGAAGCAGTCTCGAAAAAGTTCTATGGCCAGAGAAAATTCTGTCCAGATGGCTTTTGAAATCCTGCATCCAGATTCCATTGATCATCTGTTGCCAACTAACTCACAGTAGCTCATACGGATTTTGCCAATGAAGTAGTAGTAGATTGTACAGATCATACAATCGGTGCAATTCCCTCGAGCAAGCTCATCGGCTACCTTCTATGTTACTGTGTCCTGGAACCCAACATAATTTAACTATCTGTCGTATATCAAGTAAAGCATCCTTGCAGTCACGAACAGCTTTTGAGTTAATAGTACACGACTTAAGAGCCTTAAGATCAATAAGTTTATGTGAGTTGTAGATGGCTAGTTCCTTGCAGTAAACAGTACCTTTCCATCTTCGACTCCTTTGTAAATGTCGACAGAGCGGCCAGAGGTAAGGAGCCACTTGGCCAGGATTCCCCACTAGGTAACTTTATTCTAATGTCTTTTAATGGTCAATATTCTTTGGGATCAATTAAACCAAGAATTTTCTGTGTAAAATGACAAAATTTGCATATTATGGAATAAATATTCACCCCTAGAGAATAAGTTTTGGAAAATATACCAGGTTAAGAAAGAAGAACTGCTGAAATCTAAATGGTCTGAATATAGATCCGTAGAAAGCCAGAGTTCCGTGGTAGTTGATTTGGGTATCATATTGTCGGAATCTCCGACTGCTGCGCTCACTGGTTTTATTATGGATCCATATTTCGACATAGCTAAAATCATTTAAGGTACACACACACATTTTTTAAATGAAATGAATGTAGTTTGGCATTCCGTTAATTCAGGCCGAACTTAATCATTTTCTACTTCTTGTATTTCCCATTTTTTTATTTTTTTTTTTTTTTTTGATGAATGGGATTAAGGAGTTACATTTTAATGGCGATACATTTAGAGCTCATAGAATGCACATTTAACGACATTTCAAGGGTAATTTATTGTATGTAAGATTAACACTACCCGGAATTACTAGAATTCATAATGCAAACGTTACATTGTAGAGAAAAAAAGCCCCCTACATTAAAGTAAGACCGATCATGGCAATAAAAAACAAATAGTTGTATACAGTAAATGAGGGTATTCACAATTTGATGCTCGTGAAAACTAATATTATCAGATGCATATAAATTAAAGAAATGTTTTGGAAATTATCGTTTCATGTTGCAATGACACACTTCAATATTATAAGTATTGGTTCAAATTTCGGGATAGGATCCATAGAATGGTACTCTTCATTATTCTGTATTTTGGGAACTGTGGCCACGATTTCCATACCAATTGGCTCCAATTGGATATTTGGGTTTCTGATTAGGTAGAAAATCTTCCTACAAAAATGTATAAATATTGGTTCATTTTTTAAGGTAGCTCCCATCGAGTGGTACCCCCAATATTCTGTATTTTGGGGTTTTTGGTCAGGTTTTTCGACCCAAGTTTCCGGTTAGCCTCTATATAATTTACTCCCAATTATTCGGTATATTGTGGGGGCTTGGGGACGTTTTTCAACGGAATTGACTCTAATTTGATTTTTCATATTATCAATATCGGATTACGTTTGGTATAGCTCCGATAAACGAAGGACTTAGTAGCTTTAAACCACCGATGAAGCTATAATTTGGTATAAAGGGTTCTCGGAAGCTGTCATACATATATAGAATATGATCAGTGTTGATCCATTGCTAGGAGATTTTAATGCAAAAATCGGAAGGGAAAATATCTTTGACCCCACCGGATTTGCTGCAGGCAAATCCTCCTGTAGGGATGAAGAAGAAAATCTGGTGGCAGATACAGACAGCGTGTTGAGGATCTTGTAAAGCTTCTGGTATCAAATAGTCACGGCGAAGAAAATACCCCAGAACCAATAGGAGAAGACGGCACAGCCAATATACCACCGGCTGAAGAAGAATAAAGCAGCAGGTGCCGATGAATTACCAACCGAACTATTCAAGACCGATGTCCAGAAGGAACATGCACAAACTAATTAGTACAATTTGACTAGAGGAATGTATGTCCAATGATTGGAAACTCAGCATCCTGTGTCTCGTGCACAAAAAAGGAGACAAGACGATATGTTCCAACTATAGAGGAATTACTCTCCTTCCCATCGCATATAAAGTGCTATCCTGCGTGCTGTGTTAACGACTGAAGCCAAAGGTCAATGACATTATTGGACCAATGCAGCTTCAGACTTGGAAAAACCACTATAGCCAAGTTTTTCATTCTGCGCAATGACCGACGAAAAACACATCGACACATTCCACTTATTCGTCGACTATAAATTCGCATTCGCTCAGAGGTGTTTGTCTGCATTCGGCTATACAGGAAACTTTAACCTGCGCAAGGTCAGCAGTTAAAGTTGAAAAGGACTTCTGGGAGCCCTTCAATACCGAACGAGGATTCAGACAAGGTGACAGTTTGTTGTGTGACCTCTTTAATATCCTGCTGGAAAAGGTTGGACGAGATGCAAATTTGAACAGATATGACACTCTGTACCCCAAGCAGCACACGTTCGTCGCCTACGCCGATGACATCGACATAATCGGTTGAACATTGTGAGCGGTAACATCTACCTTTGAACGAATTAAAAAGGAGTCTTCCAAAGTGGGCTGGCAGTAAAGACCAAGCTGATGGTATCAACGCGCAAGACATCCAGTGGAACTTGTAAACTACAGTTTCGAGGTAGTGAACGATTTAATATACCTCGGTAGCGTCACAAACATAACTAATATCAGCTTTGAAATCTGGAGAAGAATAGTGTTGGCCAATAGATGCTACTATGGTCGGAGTAAGCTATTCAAAAACAAGGCCACCTCTCGCCAGACCAAACTCACACTCTATAAGACGCTGATACTACCCGTGCTGGTGTATGGATTTGAAGCATGGGTACTTGCGCAAGCAAGCTGCCTAGCTCTTGGAGTGTTTGAGAGAAAGATCAACAGGTAAATTGTACCATTTATTCTCGGACATCGACATAGACGTATTGAGCCAGGAGTAAAAAATTTTAAATTAAAACCAATTCAGTTAAGGAAATGCGGATATACCCTTCAAAATACCGAATACCGTCAAAAGATGGATCCATATCAAAAATATTCTGCAAATATGTTCCCCCAAGTTTCTAGAATTCTCGTTTGGAAAATACGAATAAAATCTTCGAAATACAAAAATTCCACTGAGATGTACCCCCAAGAATTACAGTCACGTGTAATAAATAATGCGGGAAAAATACAAAAATCTTAATTTTATTCTGATCAAGAATGGGGTCTACGTCAAATATTTCGACAAAATTTCAGTAACTCATGAAGAATTTCCCTCAAAACGGAATTTTCTTTTACTCCAACGTTCTGATAACTCGAGGAAATTTATTCACGGAAAACTTTAAAGAAAACCGCCGATTTACAAGAAACGATAAGACGCGTCGTGGTAAAAAAAGAATGAAACGGAAATATGTAACAGATAATATTCAAATTTCCAAACATATGGACGCTACCACATGCTGGGTGGGTATAAATACCCAAAAAGTTTTAGGGTAAATCATCAGTTATCCCTTGCAAACATTAGCAATAGCATAACAGCCCTATTCATAGAGTAACAACTCCAATTCAATATGTTTAAACTAACTCCAGTTCTATTGTCCTTGGTTTTGGTGGTGAGCTATATAAAAGCTAGTCCAATATTAAAACAATTGAATGATGATGAAGATACTGTGGAAATTTCGGCCAATACTTTGGAAGCACCTCAGAAATCTAAGGATGTCATTGATTTAAGTTTCTATGGCACGGCCCTGTTTGGAAAACCCGATCATAAAGATACAGCTGAATTGGTGGCAAATTATAAAATGGAAAACTCCTCAGTAAACCCCGAAGAATTGGGTTCCTATTTGGAGGGTGACATTTTAGTACCCACCGATGGTGTTACAACTAAAAACGGTCTGACAACACAAAGTTCTCGCTGGCCAAATGCTGTTGTGCCCTATGAGATTCGTGGTAATTTCAATGGTCAGGATATGGCAATCATTGAACATGCCATTGCTGAATATCATCGTCGTACATGTATTCGATTTGTGCCACGTACCTCGGAACAGGATTATATTTCCATTGTAAGTGGTAATTCCGGATGTTGGTCTTCGGTTGGACGTGTTGGTGGCAAGCAAGAGGTGAATTTGCAATCTCCAGGATGTTTGACTAAACCCGGTACAGCAATGCATGAATTAATGCATGCCTTGGGTTTCTTGCACGAACAAAATCGTGAAGAACGTGATGCATTTGTATCGATACAATTTCAAAATATCCAACCCAGTGCTAAGTCGAATTTCGATAGAGCAAGTCATACAATGGCCTTTGGGGTACCCTATGATTATGGCAGTGTTATGCATTATTCATCGACTGCATTCTCGACAAATGGTCAACCTACTATTATTGCTATGGTGAGTGGATGCTAGACAAAGCTCGGAATGACATTTTGATAATTATTGTATTTTTTTTAGCAACCCATGGGAGATGCTAGAATGGGTCAACGCGATGGATTTTCGGATAAGGATATTGAGAAACTTAATCGCATGTATGATTGTCCGGCAAGCGGAAATGTTGGTGGTGGCCAATCCTCTACTGCTGGTAACTCCGCTGTTGATAATGCTCTCATCAATAGCTTTGTTAGTGGCATTATGACTGGCTTAGGTTTTGGTGATAATTCCGTGGCTTAAAGTATCATGAGCCAAAACGAGGATGACATGATTTGAATCTTTCAACAGTATTATGTATACAACCAAAGAATAATTTTACCTATAAATTCATTACATTTTATCAAACATTTGCTTTATTTCTCTTTCTTAATAACTTTTGTTTTTAATATTTTGTTCTACTTTGTAGATAATAGAAACTAAAACTTAAAACTCTTACCCTGAATCTGTGACATTCAGTTTACATACTCTTAAATATCCATACTCATATCCATAATAACATTGGGATCAATATTATCCGAATTTGTTGATATATCTTCATCATCAAATTTCAATTTCATCCCGGTAAATTTAACCGTGGGCGAATCTTCCTCTTCAATTGTTGGAAATTGATTGGGAACTTTTGAGATTTTATAAACGGAATAGCTATCCCATGCCTGTTTACCATAGATATCATCTATTATTGAATCTTCATCCATAAAATCTTCAATGCAGGTCTTCAATATTGTTGAGGTTACAATACAATCTCGATTCAAGGCCAAACTTTTATGGAAATATGTAATGGCCTCCTCTAAATTACCCATCAAGGCATAGACGAAACCAATAGCTGTAAAGGTTTGTGGTGTTTGGGGTTTCAACAATAGGGCCTGAAGGAGAAGAAAAAAATGAATTATCAATTAAAGAATTTAAGAAAAACCCCTAACTCACATATTGATGATATTCCAAGGCTTCCTTGTATTTCTTATTTTTGCGACAACAATGACCCAAATTGTTGAACAATGGCTCCCATCGGGCCGACACTTCTTCCTTATTTTGTTTGGCTCTATTCATAACAATATCAGCAGTGGTGCGAAAAACTTCTTCGGCACTTTCATAACTAGAATTTAAAATTATTTATTTTAACAAAAATGAAATGGATGTGTATGTTTTGTACTCACAATTCATATTCGTATTTGATAACCCCCAGTTCGTGCAGTACGAAAACATCTAGGGGTGCAATGGACATTGCTTGATAGAAGAATTTCTCAGCTAATTCTAAATTCTTAACCAATCCACATTCGACCCCAATGTACAGTAGAGGTAAATGACATCCACGCATTAGCTGGGTAGCTTTGAAATAAGCAGCCATGGCCTGTAAGAAAATGAAATTAAAAATCAAATTCGGGAGTAGATAAAGTTTAGCCTATAATGGAAATAATAGGTTAACTTCCGTACTTAAATTGCCGTGGGGTCATGAACTGATAGTTCTTGAATAGGGACGTAGAAAGATTATACGCTCTATTTCGAAATCACCACTCTCTCTGCTAGAATTTTTGGATTTACTTCGGTATTTCTTTAGCAGGTATATAGCGGTAGATTAGATAGTTTCTTAAGAGCTATAAAAATGAGCAGAACCATGGTTCGGGATTTGTCGCAATCCCGACACGGACCAAAAGAATCAGTAGCAAAAATTCCTGGTAATATAGATCCCAAGTTTAAAAAAATGCACGAACATGTACTTGCTAGATTGACAGTTCCGTGTTAATATGAGAGATCAACCCTCCAGCCAAGTTTGAAACGTTGGATCGTGAATTATATGTGTGGACGTCAGTCGTACGTCGAATTCAGAAATAGGAAGTCGAAGACCCGTACAGTTAAACAGAGAGTTCCACAAGGAAGGGTGAAATCTCCGGAACTGTTTAACCTCTACCTTTCTGAAATTCCACGTCCACTGGGATGATTGCAGGACCCAAAATTTATCACATTTGCGAGAAGCTGAACCACTATCTATCTCGTGGATATAGCTAACATTTTCCGGGCGAGGAATATTTAAATATCCGCCACTAAATCAACGGCCACACTGTTTACTATATGCACAGCGGAGATGCCGCTTTGCCACCTGTAATGGTGGCAAAAAGGGGTATGGGCCTATAAGCATGTATAAAAATTGCTAATCTATTAATCGAAAGCCGTTAAAGAAGACGGAAGGTATATCTTCATATTTCCTTTGAGTCTGTTGACTTCTATTGTCAAATCTTAGATTCTGGGGTAGATATGATTAATGTGATTTAGTTAACTTCCTATAGCCACAATATCTGCTATGAAATCTTCCTCGTTTGTTATACAAAATTTATCACTTCCAGACAACCTTCAATGATACCAGGTAAGCCGTATCGTATCCTTCATATACTCCTATTATCATCTGTTTATTACGTTATGGATTAAATTTAAATATTTTTCATAGATGTTTCCAACAGATAAATTTCCTTAATAAGTAGTAAAAAGTATCTATTTAAAAAATACAAATAATTGGTCTGTCCCAGAAACTGCAAGAATGTAAATTTTTTTACTACGATAATATGGTATGATATGGAAGAAAATAGTAAAAATTAGTAGATTCTTGCAATACGGGAACAGACCTAACGATCCTGAATTTTTTGAAAATGAAATTTATTTTTTTTTACCTGATCATGTTCATTTTCTTTGGCAAATGAATGGCCATACGCCAACCAAGCTGGACCATATAATCTATCTAATGAAGTTGCTTTGGAGAGATAACGTCTGGCAGGATCACTTTTACCAATTAAATCATAATAGCAACCAACAGCATACCATGATATGGCTTTATCCGGATAACGATCTACCAATTTGTGGGCCACATAAAATAGTTCTAAAATAAGAAAATAATTCAAATATAAGATAGTGTAATATTTTCAATTAGATACTGCTTATGTTATATATATGATATAATAAACATTTAAAATTAAATTAATATCTTTCTTAAATGTGGAAACATTTAAATCTTTTCAACAACGGAAAATCTCTAGTTATTCCAAAATTGTCACAATGATCATGAATATAACTTACTATTATAATCACCAAATTCCACCAAGCAACCAATTTGCACTGTAAGCGCACCATTATGATAGGGATCAATTTTAAGAAGCCTTTAAAAGTAGCAATAAAAAATAAATGTAATATCCTATTAATGACTTCTACATAACATTGCCTTACTCATTCAAAATCTTAAAACTCTTCTTATATTCACAATCATAGAATAGTTTCTCAGCCTCGGCGGCCATAACATCGGTGCTTTTTTGTATGCGTTGCATGCTAGTTGAGAGTAACATTGATGTGGGACTATCAGCACTATCTTTAGAACGATTACGACTTGGTGTCTCCAAATGCGAACGATGCGAATCATTGATAAGCGAAGAGGCACGTGATAAACTGACTTGCAATGAGAAGGGTGGTATTTTTAAATCTTCCAGGACTCTAAAATTATAAACAATATGCTGCTTTGATTTCCTTAGTAAAAGAAGATAATATTTTTCTTACTTGTTTGCGGGTGACATTATTTGATTTTGTGTTGGTGTCATAAATTTCGGCAATACATTCTTGTGAATACTTGCATCTGAGTTCCGGGTCATTTGTATTTTATCATTTAACTCTTTAATGGACTTTAATGTGCTCATATTACCAATTGGTGTTTCTTCGGCATTTGTATTCTATAGGAAGAGATTTGATATATGATACATTTTATTTATTTTTTTATTATAAATGTTCTTACCGGTCCAATAGATTCATAATACTTTTTCAGTTTTGTTTCATATAATTTTGTTATAAACTTGGCATCGGATTCCGAGGATTGATGTTCTAGTGGCAAGTGTTGCATGAGTTCTTTTTCTGAAAATTAAAAATTAAAAAAAAACTAATTTATAAATAAGCAGATTAAAAAACTATTCTGTTAGAGTATATCGGAATTAAAAAAACACAGTGGTCCCCAGGCGATCCTCGTCTGTCACTGATATTATTCCGCCATAACCTTATGTTATGATTGACCCATTATTTATAACACGAATTTTTGGAACTTTATTAATGAATGCTGTTTTTTGTGAAATCGGAATTTCCATCACATGATACTTCTATAGGAGAAAAAGGATAAAACATCGGAAACAACTTCCAACTTATTAATAAAAACCACGAACTATCTTGAATAGCATGACAATAACGCACTATATTGTGGTCAATTAGGACATTAGGACATATCCAGGGTCTTGCTTATGGATTTCCGTTTTTTTTTTTTGGATTTCATTTCAATTTTTAAGGAAAGAATGGCTGGCTTAATAAATCTTTCGGGTCTAAACGAGGTATCTTTTGAATTCTTTAAATATTATATACGGATATCAAGAATTCGGTTACGGACAACCCAGACACATTTGAAATTTTTACCAGATTATATGGTCTTTCGGTGATATATATTTTTGTAAATGCGGAATTCAAAATGACACGGGACATTCTTTAATAAAATAATTACGTTTTTGTAGCCAGCAATTTAAAAGCATAAAATTGATACCCATATTTGCTTAAAGCGTTTTAAAAATCATGATAATATTCAAGGGGGGTTCCTGTGGAATTTTGGATTTGGATATGAATTTCCGCACTTATGTTTTATGGTAAAAATTTCAAAACGATTAGATCAGTTTTTTTTTATATTATTCTTTTCTTAATTTCACTTACCTTCCCATGCCATCAACATTTCATGCTGCACCAGGGCTTCTAAAGCCTCATAGCAGTACACCGATTTGTGCAATGCTTGAACATAATAATCCATGGCCAAGCCACGATTATCCATGGCCTCATATATTTTACCTTTGAGGAAACTAATTACATTCTTACACTCCTCTTCACCGAACAGCCGGCAAAAATCCAACAAACGCTAACAATGAAGTGCAACAAACAAATTGGTTCAAACGAATTGTTCATTGAAATGAACTATCGGAACTAACTACATTTGGTTCCTGAACCATACAGAATCATTAAAACATAATTGCGCCAAATTCGCTTTTTAAAAACTAATTAAAATAAAGGTAATTCTTTTTTTTATTATGAACTAGAATTGTACAATTAATTCATGAAATGAAGATGAAGACATTACCAAAGCATCTGTTTTAACAGATTTCATTTTAACGCAGTCAAATTATTTTTGGGGAACATAGGAGTTTCTTATACTACAAAGCGCCGTCTGTTTGTCAAGTGTGAAT